TGGGAGAACCCAGTTATTTTTTCCTGGAAACAAATATAATACAACTTTGTTATGAAATAGCCAGTAATGGTAAAATGAAAACAATCACTTTGGTGGATGTCATTTATTGATGGTTATTTCCTTCTGAGTATTTTATTTTTATCAGAATAATCTCATAGGGTAATTTCTCTATCATTTTTACTTGCAAAATGAAAAAACTCATGCTTAGGGACATGAAAAAGCCTGAGGTTATGCAGTTAGTACATAGTTGAACAAATATTTCACCAAGGAATGTCCCATTCTGAAATTTATAATTTTAATCACTTTACTCTGACAAATTTATTATATAAAAAGGACAACTTGCTGAAAGCAAACTTTGTTTTTCTAGGAGAAACATATGACTTATTTCTTGTAAGTGTAATCAAATTATCAGTGAATGACAGTTTTGCTACTTGATTCCCACTGTAATGTGTAATAAAGTTAAATTTATATTCAGAAATGTTTTATTAAAATGATTATTCCATCAAGTTATTTTATTCGTTCTTTCACTAGGCTCATTATTTTACCTTCCTTTCTTGGTGATGTGTGTAAAAGCATAACTTTTTATTGCTGAAATAATATCTATAAAGTTCTTTTCTCCTTTGGATCTAATCAAAGTATTACTAACTTAATTATAATTAATAGTGTAATTATATAATTCATTTAAGTAATATGTAATACTTTAATAACTTACTTAAATGCCTAAGTCAATTTATTCAAGAGAAATAGATCTATAAAAGATATGAATGATAGATATACACAAAGTAATAGTTGCTAGTCTGTTTTTTACTTTCTTGTATTTGAAACATTTATAAATTGGATAAACAATGAAGTTACTTTTAAAAATTCATATATTATGATCATGGTTGGCTTTCCTCAATTTAGGGTTAATTTGAAGGGACTATTAAAATAAATGGAAAAAATAGTGTCTTATTCTATATCTTCTGAAAATTTGAACCTGCTTATTTAGTACTCGTAAGAATACAAAGAAAGGTCAAAATATAAAGAATATTATAAAGTTTACATGATTCAAAATGAAAGCAATTATTATCTTATCATAAACAAAATTAGTTATGTATTATTACATAACAAATAACCCCCCAAATTAAACTTAACACAACCACTATTTTACTTCTCAAAATTCTGGGGGTCAGCATGATTCCTTGTGTTGGCCGGTAAGTTGAGAGTTAGACATGAGATGCTCAGATGGATATATCTCACCTTCCATGAGATTTTTTGTCCTTAGAGAAGCTAAACATTTAGTCTCTGAGCACTGTTCCAATAAAGGAAAAGCAAAATCTGCCTGGGCTTTTAGGGCTTTAGCTTGTGAAGTTATACAATGTAGTTTTTGTTACATTCTATTGGTCAAAGGAAGTCACAAGACTATCCCATATTCAAGGGTGGTGAAATAGAACTCACCTCTTCATGAAAAAGCTACAAAGTCACACATCAACAGGACACATAAAGGGAGCAGGGTTCCTTGGGAACATTATTTTAACAATCTACTATACAAACTTGGTAACAACTTGATACTCCGCTGAAGATAAAGTCCATAATCTTTGTGACCTCATACTAAGGTACAAAACATATTATACTGGTTGGAAAGCCTCATACATCACTTTAAACTCTTTTTATGACATTTTAGTGAAACAAAGGTCCTTTTTATCTTCATATAATATAAAGAGAGTTCCTCTGAAATGTTGTAATCTCAGCCAAGAAAGAATGCACACATTGTTAGAAGAAATTTCAAGAGTTCAAAATGAGAAATAGTGACATAAATTATTGGCATAGAAAATGTAAATAATTCATTCATCTTGATGTGTTTATCAAAATAATTGGAAAATAAGAATTTGAGAAAGGATTAATGCAAATAATTTTTTTTTTTTTTTTTTTTGCTGTTTTTGGCTGGGGCCAGGTTTAGAACCCGCCACCTCCAGTATATGGGGCTGGCACCCCACTCCTTTGAGCCACAGTGCCGCCGGCAAATAATTTTTTGTTTGTAGAAGTAGACTATTTCAGTGAGTGATTTCTGGGAGAGCGTATCAATGACTTTCTTAAGAAGGGAGAAAGAACTGAATCTGTTCTGAATTTTACTTATGACATACTCAAAACTATAAATTGTCTTCCCAAACTATGTATTGTTTTAAGATCTAGTTAAAAATATTCATTTATCAAACACCTAATATATTTCAGATGTTATTTATTTTTAATCTTTACTGAAAAACCTAATGGAATAAAGATAGTATATATATTATGGCCTTTTAATAGCAGAAAAAAATAGGACTCAAAATATTAATCTGCTTATCTAAGTTTTACATGGTACCACTCAAAGATAATGTATTTTTATTAGGACATTCCCTAGGGCTCATGTCATTACTACCACTGAAAAGTCATTATTGGTACAACAAAATTTTTTTCCAAAATGTTCCTTAGCCTAAATAATAACGAAAACAAGATAGCTTAGATACAAAGGTCTTACAGATAAATGACTGGCATTTAATGATGGCCAATTATAGATGAAGCACCTTCCATATATATTTCCATTTAATTTCACAAAGTCTGCTTTTCAAGTTTAGGAAATAGGTTTAGAGAAGCCCTGGCACCATTTTAGGCTATATAAATCAGAATCTCTGTGATCAGTTTTTTAAGAATTCTTCAGAGACACACTAATATGCAACCAGGGTTGGAAGCCATTACTTTAAGTTGTTTTCTATACATTTTTAGAAAAAGAAATTGGTGACATCATTTGTGGGGATTCTAGAAGATGTAAGATAGAAAAAATTGGACAGCAACTACATCATGGTTTTCTTAACATTAAGCTAAAATTTCTTAGTGTTTATAATTTTTTATTTCAATATCATATCCTAATGGGTAAGCATTATAAAATATGTAAACGTATTTTCTGAAGGAAATATATTTTGCTGATATACTCCTAAATTGAACTGCATTTTAATGACTTGAGTCTTTAGACTATTAAAACACAATAAGGTCATTATGTTTGGAGAAATCAACATAAATTCCTACCTAAATCAAAATTAGTTCCTTTCACCTACAGAAGCATTTAAGAAAAAAAACAAATACCTTTTACTGTGCAATTTCCTAACAGTTTAAAACATAATTTCATGTGGTCAATTACTTTAAAAGCAGTGTCTCAAAAGAAAAAAAAATTAATAAAAATCCTCATATACACCTTTTTCAAAGTCCACCCCCAGAATTAAATTTATTTAAATTACCTGCATATATTTTAATATATTACTCTATGGTATAAGTTTATATGCATATTCAATAATCTATAGCAAAGTATTATCTATGTATAAACCTAAGTATAAACAAACAGACACAGCATTTGAAATCCGTGTCTGAATTAGGCACACATCTACTGCTGCTCCTTAGGCTTATCGGGTTATTTAGTAAATTCAGGTGCTAAAACCACCAAGTCATATAAAAAAGTCAAGATACATCCCAATATATTATCTTGTCACATATTTCTTCATACGTGAAGAATCCTCCTTAACAAGTAAATGATTTTAAAGGACTCCTTTTCTATCCTTCAGAATCTTCAATGCATTAAGTTTCCACTAACCTCAGAGACATAACTCTTAAATCACAATGGAATCTGAGGAAATTCAATGGATTTCATTCAAGATAAAAACTTACCCGCAAATTTGATATGGAATTTATTTTCAGGCTTTAGTATCTGGACATACAAAGGACAATTCGGAGCAAAATCTTTCACAGCCCACGCTCTCAAAATGGTTTGGTGATCCTGAAATGAGGAAGTTAAATTCTCATGAGATAAATTAAAACTTTTATGATTATGAAGTAAAAATTATCAAGCAATTGGTTTGTTTAGTCACATTTACGGTTAAAAATTAAGCATGAAAATAATTTATTATAAGGTGTTTTCAATTTATTTATTTATTTTTTTTGTTTGAGACAGAGTCTTACTATGTTGTTGAGGCTAGACTACCATGGACTTAGCCTAGCTCACACCAACGTCAAACTCCTCTCTTAGCTATTCTTCTGCCTTGGCCTCCCAGAGTGGTAGGATAGAGGTGTGAGCCACTGCACTCGGCGTAAGGACTTATTTTTAAGAACACTTGTTATTTCTATTAAAGAGTGTAACAACACTTAATTAAATCAGAGATAAAACCCAGCACTTAAAAAATTAGCAGAGATTGAGAGTAGCTAGACAGATATAAAAATATTTTTTCCCTGAAAATTCCTGTGGTCAGAAGCTTTAGAATTGTAGCACAATTATTAGTTTGTTAGAGAAATTTCCATAGAGAAAAAAATTGACTTACAATATTAACATACATAGAAAGATCAATGAAAGGAAAACAGTGACTATAAATGTAGAGAATACATTTTTTTACTTTCTTATGTGACAGTAAAGTTAAAAGAATTTTGACTACGTGTGTGTGTGCACACACATATGTTTGGAGACAAAGAACTCTCAGATATAAAAAATATATCAGAAAGTTTTTATTTTTAATGAAATGATGCTAAGACTGAGTAAGAGAATCAAAATCATGTTTAACATGAAATCTTACACATAGTAGTCACCCTGTAAGTAATAGAACAAATCAAATAAACCAAAGCAAAGTATTAGAGAAATACACAATACAATTAGCTAATATGCTTTGAAAAGGAAGCACAAATGGGCTCTGAAGTACCACATCCATATTAGTAGCCAATAAGGACATTGGCTGTTTTAACTTAAATTAACAAAAATGAAATACTAAGATTGAGAATTTAATTCCTTAATCACACTAGCCACATTTCAAGTGCTCAAAGGGGCACGTAGCTAGTGGCTGCCATAGTAGACAGTGAGGGTATGGAGTATTTTGTCATCATGGAAAGTTCTATTTGACAACACTGCTAGGGAAAAGAAAGGAAGATCAAAAATACAGGTAGATACGAGAGACTATTCGTTCAAATGCAGAAAGAAGATGCTGTTGATGGTCAATAACTTCTATAGACTGAATATCTGGGTCCTCTCAAAATTCATACATTGAAACCTTTACCCCCATTATGATGCTACTAGAAGATAGGATCTTCAGTAGGAATCAGATAGTCATAGTACAGAGCCTTCAGAGAGCTCCCTTGCCCCTTAGCCATGAAAGAATGAGGTCAGAAGACAAGTCTATGAACCAAGCATCAGGTCTTCACCAAATAACGAATCTGCCAGCTCTTTGGTCTTAAGAGTTCCCAGCCTTCAGAACTATGAGAAATAAATGTCTGCTATTTACGATCCACCTGTGATTTGTTATGGAAGGCCAACTAAGACAGTAACTTTAAGTTACATGAAAGTTAAAGAATTTTAGGCTAGAATAGCTTAAGTGGGCAATATGCATCTTATAGGCTAACAGTCAAAACATTAGTAAGCCTAATAATGCCTACTAAGATTCACCAAGTGAGTATCTGTTAATTCATGTAACATGCTTTTGAATCTGAGGTGAGCATTATAGATAATTTAGTAGAGTGTTATCACTGTTTCTCTTTCACAGTAAGTATAACATTTTACATGAAAAGAAAAAAATAAAAATTAAACCAAATCAAAAATATCAACATATTGGTTTTTCTTTTATTTCATTTCATTGTTTTAAAGATATATATATATATAGTTTTGTTACGTTTTGTTTTTCCAGACAGAGGCTCCTACTATTGCCCTGTATAGAATGCCATGGCATCATAGCTCCCAACAATCTTCAACTCTTGGGCTCAAGCGATCCTCTTGTCTCAGTGTTTCTATTTTTGGTAGAGATGGGGTCTTGCTTTTGCTCAAGTTGGTTTCGAACTTGTAAGCTCAAGCTATCTGCCCACCTGTGCCTCCCAGAGTGCCAGGATTATAGGTGTGAGTCACCATGCCCTGCCCAAAGATAATGGATTCTTAGGAGGGTTTTAACTCTTTCCTGTCCTGCAGTACCTAACCAGGTTGGAACAAATCCAAATTCTTCATTTCCGAAATGTAGATTCTTTCTATCTCACAGAATTGCTATAGTGAAATACAACATGTACAACTTTTAATAGAGTTTGGCGGTTAGTTATTGTGGAATAAACAAGCTGTTTTATTATTATTTGTATTATCTTAGTAATAAGAAAAGCAATATCATTAAGGATACAAACTAAAGAACAAGGATAAATCTCTTAGCAAGAGTCAACCAGCTGAAATTTGCCAGCTGGAACCAGCAACAAATGTGATATTAGTCATGGAAGGAGAAATAAAGAATGACTAGGAGATCCACCAATATGGAATAGGAAATTCTTAATAAATTGTCCTTCCTGCAGATAACAACTATAAACTCCAGATAAAAATCTATAAAACATTCACATAAAGGTTCTAGAAAATGAATTATAGTAGACAGATTTTAGATGGAAGTAAAAGCTGGGAGGAAGCATCTTACATATCATAATTTCTCTGTTTTTGCCATTTTGAACTTGGCAGCTTAAGTTGGCTAAAACTGCACAGCAAATCTGTCAGAAGAGCTAGAGAATGGAGTCTGGGGCAACTAGGGCTCCTGGAGACAGGAAACAGCAGAGACAAAGAACATACATCAGGAACTCTCTGTATAAATTTATACTTCTTTCACTGACCACTGAACCATGCATGGGCAAGAATAAACACAATCTGAAACGATATTTGAACCACTGCCAATTTAAGGGTGATAAAGTTTGCTTATTTTTGGTTGAACCACATTAACTCCTTGCCAGTATAATAACATCAACACTTTTGTGGATAATGCAGAGAAACCAAGACTCTACAATATTAATGAAATATCCAAAATATAATGCAACATTATTCAATATATGAAGTGCCAAGAAAATGTAATCTGTTCTTCATGAGAAAAAAACAAAATGATAATAGGTGGTAACTTCTAAATCATCTAAAATGATAGAATTATCAGACAAAGATATAAAGCTGCTGCTAGATCTACAACCAGTAATGCAATGGAAAATATTTCTATAATAAATAAAAACAGAAAATTCCAGCAGACCAATAAAAATACTTTAAAACTAAAGTAAAAAACTAAAGCTTTAAAAATATTCACTGATAGTCATTGAAATAGAATGGAGATGACAAAAGAAAACATCAGTAAACTTGATCAATATAATTTACCCAATTTAAAAAGAAGAGAGAAAAGGGGAGGAAATAAGGAACAGAGTTCAGGCACTTGTGTAACAATTTTAAAAAGTGTTGCATAATATAATGGAATTCTCAAGAAGAAAACAAATGAGAAAAGGGAGCAAAAAATAATTTGAAGAAATAGTGGTTGGAAACTTTTCAATTTTGTCAATTTCTAAGTTCCAGGATCTCAGAAAATTCAAATTATATAATCCAAAAGGTAATGATGCCCAGTCATATTTTATTTGAACTGTTAAAAACCAAATGCCAAGACAAAACCTTGACAGCACCTATAAATGAAGTCGTATGACCTAGGACTGTCATCAGCAATTATGGAAGCTAGGCAAGCAAGGAAAACCATCCTAAAACGGGGGTGTCCAACCTACGGCCTGAAGTCCATGAGCTGATTTGGCAAAGACTTTTTTGCTTCTCTGTGGTGTTGGATATCACAAAAAAGTATCTGCAGACCTTCTTTGGCTAATGATCTTTCATTAGTGTTGTCTATTTAATGTGTGGTCCAAGACAATTCTATTATTTCAATGTATAGCAGAGGAAAAAAAAAAAATGGTTTGATACCTCTGCAAAGTTTGGAAAACACCCTAAAGGGAAAAATATCAACCATGTGAAACTAGTACTTTATATCTAGAAGAAAAGTTTTCAAGAAGGTGAAATAAAGGACTTCTCTAAATAAAGAAATCTAAAAAGATGTATTGCCATCAAGTTTTTCTACAAAAAAGCATACTGATGTATACTGCTGTCAAATCATGCTACAAACCTAGCCCTCTGTCTCAAGCTATATATCTCAGCTGAACCACCATACCTTGATCACCTCCTTAAGTTGACCTAATTTTCATAGACCAGACACGCACAATGTATACA